GTCTCGGACATGAGAAGAGAACGACGGCCCAAATTCAAACAAAAGTGAAGGCATTGCGAGCCCAATACAAGCTGATAAAGGATCAGTTGAAGAAGAGTGGTTCGGGCACGTCTGGTGTAAAATCTTTGATTGCGATCCATCCAATCACACACGCGTATATCTAATCCCGTGAAACAGAGTTGGCCAAACTCTCTCTTTACGGCTCTGCTGTTTCGACTTTCATAATTTGGAGGTCAATCCAACTAGTGTGACCGACCCAGAATTTTGAGCCTGGCTTGAAATCTCACCCGCGTTGAGTCAAGCCAGGCTTGAGACGCTAGTGTGACCGTAGCCTCAGATTTGACCTTGCATTGATACTTCTACTAGAAATGCTAGAAATGCATTGCTGAGCTTGATGATTTCCACTGGTTAATTTTAAAGGTCATCCCATGTCAACCTACTGTACTAGTTTGGACACTCAACATTTTAAAGCTAGGTGTGAAACTCCACTATGTGGAACGTAGCCTTAGGCTTCATAATAACACTAGTTTTACATATCTATACCTTGGTTTATTTCGTCGCTCACATCACGAACTAACGATTTGTTGAACGTTAAATGGAATACTGGAGCATAAAGCCATTAACCATTCTGTATTATTCTACAGGATATAATGTACTGTACATTGGTATATTTGTTGTCCTTTTAAACACAACATACTATGAACAAAAACAGAAGCACAACTATTTTATTTAATTTATCAACTGTTTGATAACACAAACAGCATCTGAGGGCTACGATGTTGCTGTTGATAAACATAGAGCTATTTATATCAGAATAACATAAGTTAATTTTCTTTGTTGACTAATCTTATACTTTACCATTGAAATTTATTTATAGAATGTTGTTATCATTTTATTAGGTGCAACATTTGAATCTCTGTTCCCATCTACAGAACTGGAACCAGCATTCTCTCTAAATGATGTATTGTAAGTCAATATTAAACATTTATAATTATTTAGATGCTCATTCTTCATTCTCAGTGTCTTAGGTTCAAAGCCAGCTATGTGACTATAGAAAACATTAGTATTTGTTAAATTGTCATTATAAGATTCAGAGCATTTTAAAGACACAGGTGTCCCAAGTCTCCCGGAACTTCCGGAGTCTCCCTAAAATCGGTATGGTCTTCCACACTCCCGCAAACAAGCAAAAGTCTCCCGGAAATTCACTTATCTCCTGCAAACTCAGTAAAAAACAAATATTTTTGTTTATTTAGGTCTAAACTTTGGTTGCCAATTATTTTTTGCAGTCTCATAGAATATATAACGACTTTTTAATGTATCCGTATTCTCCACACTATAATCTTTAAAATGATAGGTCATTTACTAAACTTATTATTTCCAAAGTTATGAGTAAAAGTGTTACAGCTTCTCAATTATACTGCCACATCCCTTATGCTAATTAATCAGTTTAACATTGAGCGATAGTATGCTGGTTGTTGGATGGCATGCCAACCCTTATGAATTCACAGTGAGTCGAATGCAAAGTTAATCAATCGACCATCTTACAGTAAATGAAATTTCACACATACTTTGTATTATGTTTTAAGAAAAGTTAATGAACATGTGTTAGCCTTGAAAAATAAGTTTTTTTTGTCATGATCGATCTTTCTCACAACATTCGTAACAATTTTGATTCTCTTTCTATCAATATGTTTAAAAAAGAGGCCTTTATCTGTATTTAGTAAGACTGTACCTTTTTTATTTTAGTTTAGTATTTTTCATTTGTCTGCTTTCTTTTCAGTTTTAGGCTATCTTGTTGTTTTTGATTTACTTTTAGTTACTTTTGAATTTCATGATTGTAAACATTATTTTTTTTTTTCTGGGATATATTCACTGTATGTACCAGGGCTTCCTTGAAAAGCAGTGCTAGTCACTGAATGGATACCCCCTGGTTAAGAAAGCTTAATATTAAATAAAATTGAAACTCATTTTAGACTGTTTGCCATACATTTAAATACTTTCATATTGCGGTCATTAACTTCTGTTTGGTGCCCAATGAGAGAAACCCCCATGGGCAATATTTTAAACTTAGAACTTATTATTAAAGGAATGAAAGTGGCAAAGATAAGGAAAATATGGTAGAAGATGAAACAGAAAGTACACTAAAAAATCAGAGCTGGACTTCTCAGAAACAGTTTCCAGTGGATGCTTTGAACCATGTGATCAAGCTCATCACACATGGAATGCATTTGAGAGATATGCACAAGCAGTAAGTAAATATTAAAATTTAAGTACAGCAATTCGCAATCTAATGTACTTTAGTTTAATCAACAAAATGACTGACTGATCAACCAGAGCATTGCTTGGTGCGTCAGTAAGTGCATTGGTGAGTGCATCGGTAGGTGCATCGGTTGGGGCATTGGTTGGTGCATCTGTAGGTGCATTGGTTGGTGCATCGGTAGGTGCATTGGTGGACATTGGAGGGTGCATTGGTGGGTGCATTGGTGGGTGCATTGGTTGGTGCATTGGTTGGTGCATCGGTAGGTGCATCAGTAGGTGTATTGGTAGATGCATTGGTAGGTGTATCAGTGTTTGCACTGGTATGTGCATCAGTAGGTGCATTGGTTGTTGCATCTGTATGTGCATTGGTGGGTGCATTGTTTAGTGCATGGATGAGAGTATTGGTTGGTGCATCGGTGGGTGTATTGGTTGGTGCATCGGTAGGTGTATTGGTTGGTGCATCGGTGGGTGCATTGGTTGGTACATCGGTGGGTGCATTGGTTGGTACATCGGTGGGTGTATCGGTAGGTGCATTGGTGGGTGCATCGGTGGGTGCATTGGTTGGTGCGTTAGTGGGTGTATTGGTTGGTGCATCAGTGGGTGTATCGGTAGGTGCATTGGTTGGTGCATTAGTGGGTGCATCGGTTGGTGAAGGGCAACAACCATCATCGTCTCATCCAAGAATACTAAATTTACTTAATTTGGAACCTTCAGACAGGTAGATTAAAACCTAAACAAAACACCATCTTAATAAATGCTTTGTCACTTTTATGAAGTACAACATTATAAATCATATATTTTCAGACCTGTGTTTTATTCTGAAGAAGAATTGAAGCAGCTAATTGGACTTATATGTCGTTCTGGCTTAGAAACTCAAGGAAAAGAGTAAGCATAGCTTTGTCTAAAAAAATATGTCCATGTTCAACAGCACTTTTCCACTGTCCAGTCTAGTTGATTTTATCCAGAAACTTTTGATTCCTTATTTTTAATTGTCTACTTTTTCTGCTAAACTTAAATAAGATGAAGATTTGTTCTTAGTCTTTTTATTTTAACATATAATCATTTAGTACCTGTCCTCTATCGATAAGTATCACTCTAGTCCCTTCCATGCAGTATTTCAGTAGACACAATCAGTACCCTCAAGCTTAAGTACAAAAATGTCTTTTTTATTAACATTTTTTATGAGCATTTTACCTGTTCCATGTATTTTCATTATTTTATAAATTTTCTGACTTATCATGTATGGGAATAATTTGGTATTTGGATAGATGATCTTGGAATACAAAACCATACTCGCATTCTTAATATTCAGTATCAAGTCATTATACAATTGAAATTCTCTTATTTATAATAAAAAAAATAAAAGAGACATATCCAACAACACTCTCATTAAAATGTGTCCCTGTTCAACTTAAACAGGCCCGTAGCCAGGGGGGGGTTTTTATGGTTCGGGCGAACCCCCCTTTTCTAGCGAACCCCCTCGAATTTTTGAATGAGTCCCACCCGTTTTTAAATTGGAGCCAGCGATAAAAGCCTACATTCATAGAATATGCCACCAAACGAACCTAAAGTTTTGCGACTTAATCACCTAATTGTGGATTGTGTGGTTAGTAAATTCCATAGCCACACACTAAACTATGTGCTGATGGAGCATTTTGGGGAAATGGACTCTTCTTTTTTTCATCCCAAACAAAATATTATTAATAAATCAACATAGTCCATCTCAGTCATCATAGCCAGTGACAAAATTAGGCTGGAAGTTTGTTTTCAACAGCAGACACACTACAGAACGGAGTGCGTCAAAACGAGTGTTTGTTAATTTTTAGTGATAAAGACTGACTTTTTTTCGTCCGCTGTTGCAAAGAAGAAAACGACAGATAGTCCTGGTGGGTTATTGATTTTAAAATCAATTAGCCTAGCCTAGATGTTGACTAGCTAGGTAATTTGTAAATTATTATTGGTTGGCCTGGGACGGACCTAGACAGGCAGGCAGGCCAGTTTTATCCTGGGATTCGACGATGACGTCCGTGCACGTTTACAAACGCTATTGATTAGAATGAAAATAGACGCGCTGAATTTCAGGTCTTTTTTTTTTTTTTTTTTTTGATGAAAGATAGAATTTATCGAACATTTATCTACATAAAAACAAGAATAATATTGTAGAAATTGTATTTCTAAAGATGCATATAATTCATATTTCTTCATTTTGTAGACAATAAATATTCAGTAAGATATACTAAAAACGATTATTAATTCTGAAATGTGCATCTCAGCTATTATTAATCAGTAGGCTATGTATTATGTTATAAAATCTTAAAATAATAATTTTGAATTATGCTATATTTTGGGCTCTGACTTAATTTAACGATGGCCCTATCAGTAGTAATGACAGTATTTGTGCTTATTTAGCCATGTAGTAAAATAGTACTATTATTATGAGAGTCAAGAAGAAGTAGTAGAAGAAGAGGAGGAAAAAGAATAGCTTTTTTGTTTTATAATAATAAACGTGTTGAGTATATTGATATTGATTATGCGATGAGGTTTTGTTTATATCTTTCGGTGTGATTTAAACATGCCAATTCTCAGAAAATATTTTCTAATTTTATTATATTACCACCTTTTCATTACATAGATCTTTTTCAAAACATAGGCCAAACTGCTTTTATAACATTATTATAGACCCATTAAACATAAAAACAGCTCTGGCTTCGGGGACTTCGCCCCTGACCCCACCGTGGCCCCAGGCACCTGAACCACACCAGGGGTGGCGCCAGTGGGAGGGGGCGGGGGCCAGGGCCCCCGTCGGGGAGAAAAAGCACAATTCGTCGGGGAGAAAAAAAAATTTAATATGTATTTTTTACATATTAGTAGACTCTAATATCGATTTAATAAGCCTTTGAAACCCCTGAATTGTCAACATTTTCGGGGGCTTCACCCCCAGGACCACTTTTGGAACCTATTAATTGAAGCTCGAACACGCCCACTTTGCTTTCGTTGGGGAAATCTGACCCCTCGTCGGGGCACCGGCCCCCCCTGTCGGGGACCTCGTCGGGCAAATCCTGGTGCCACCTCTGGACCCCACGCCCAAAGAACCCCCCCCTTAAAATGACCTGGCTATGGGCCTGTTAAACATACCATATTGGCCTTAGCTGAGACAAGTGCTTTTCCATGATTCAGTGTTATGCATATTGTACATACAGTATATACATGTATGTTGAAGTTAGGTATGTTTAAATTTTAACTTCCAATGATTTAAATTTATTTTGTAATATAGCATGCTTTTTGACAAAAATAGAGCATACATTATTTGGGGTTTTTTCAATCTTTTTTCATTTTAATAGAGATACTCATGGTGAAGATTTTGCATTGTGTACTGCAGCTTTACTAGAAGGATTCTCGATTACCTCTTGGTCGATGAAGGTACATTTCAAATTATGGTTTTTATTTTACAATTTTAAATCAGAATCATCATACAGCTGGTTAGGCCTAAAAAAAATTTTGTTTGCCCTCCAGTGCCCGCTCCTAGCTTATGGAGAAATAGGAGCAGCGTTTCTAAAAAAAGTTTGTTTTTTCCCCCGATTTTTTTTTTTCACATTTTAAAAAGTGATCTTTATTTTTCTCCTTTTTTCTCATGAAAGTTGTCTAAATTTGGTATCTAATGTAAGGTATCGCCATTCTAGACCTCAATTCATTGCAAAATATCAATCATGGGTTATTTTTATTCAGTCTGATGAATACCCTTGAAAAACAGTGAATCAGGCTTAATTACAAGCATTGCGATTATGTTAATATTGGTGACAGGAGAAAAAAAGAACTAAAAAAACAACTTTTTGCGCCCGCCCCTCCTATACAATTTTCAGCATTAAAGTGCAAACGAACAATTTATTTTTTTTTAGGCCTTATATATATATTTTCATTGTTACCATATTTGTTACTTTATATATTTGTATGTGTGTTAAAGCTTTGTAATCGAGTCAGATCATTGTGTCTGGGGATTTTACTAAATTTGGCTAAAAAAAAATGCTGAAATGTATTTGGTATGGAGCAATGCTGAAAAAATGTATTTTTCTAAATATTGATTGCACATATTTTCATTGTTATTTTATTACTCTGCTTGTGATGATCAATTGTTAGCCTGAAGTACTACATACTAATTCTTACTACCAAATTGGTTTTTGTTTCAGAGTAAAGAGTTGTGCGAAGCTCTGCCTGCCTTAACCAGCCATCATCACAATTTGGTGCATCTTGTAGAATTGTTCCCAACCTTCACTGATAGAGGACGACAGACAAGACGCCTTCTGAGGTACACACTCATTTCAATCAATCAACAGTATCTTAATTATTATCTACTTTATATTGATGAAGACATACAATGTTTGGGGTTTGCAAGTCAATTTAGTAGTTTGATCAAACTAGTATGATCCTAACCATCCAAACCCAAGGCATTATTTCAATGTGGTTCTGACTAAGCAGAACAATTTATTATGATTAGTGCACACATAAGTTTGTTATTGTCATGCACTATTGTATTATTTCATTGGTAGTGGCTATTGTTACACCAGTCTTAAACTAATTCTTAATTCTAATTGGATATTATTGTCCTAACCAATCTAGACATACAGTAACATCCAATCAGAATAGGGAATCGGTGTAAGATTGGTGTAACTAGCCACTGCTTTAGAAGGAGAAAATATTTAATTACAATATATCTTTATACTTGAATATTGTTATTACTTTTTTTGGCTTCGTCACTTGTTCATATTATGGTATTATTAGGCCTAGATTTCATTATGTTAAATTTTGTTATTACTTAGTAATGATAATATTGTTAAGTCTATACTCATTTCATCTGTACTATAACATTGGAACAAGTGGAAATAAATTGAATTGAATTGAATCACTATTATTACTTTCTTCACCAAAAGCATTATTTGTTTATAGTGGAATAACAAAAGATGATTTATAATACAACAGTTTTTAGTACAATTCATTGTGCGAAAGAGTTCATATAGAGGTTACATTTCATGGTTTATTGAACATGCAAAAAATGACATGCCTATTATTACGTTACATGCATGTTACATACATGCTTGTATTGTGGTGCTATTATTTTTGTGAGCTTTTTCCTGAAATACATAATTTGTTGTAATTAATGATACTAATTGTAAAATGATGCTGTATTAATTTTAATTTACACTTAAAATAAAATGAAACAATATTATTAACAGATATAAAAATACACAGTCAATTTGAATAATTTACAAAACCTTACAAAATATTTTTCGTAAAATTTTATATGATTTTATATTTGTAAAACTTTGATATCAGGTGGTTTTAGTCACTTTCAAGCGCCTTGATCACGGAAAGGCGCTATATAAATCATTATTATTAATTTAATAACTATTTTTACAAATTGGCTGAATTTTGTTGTTTTTACAGGTATGTCACTTGTTTCCTCTGATAAGGTCGCTTCGTCCGAAGTCTGATACAGTCTACTACCAACTATACAGCATGATGATGCTAATGGACATGTGCATTGGAAACGAACCATTGCCTTCACAAGAAAAGGTATCATTAATTCCATATAAAATGAAGACTCTACTGCTGTACATTAGATAATTGTTTCTTCATGTGGGTGTGGTTGAACCGTCAGGGTTGGGCTTTTGGATCATCTCACTATAAATTTTTTGCTTGTGTGTTTAGGCAAGGCACTTTTCCTGTTTGCTGTCCATTAGATAATTGTTTTTTTCATGTGGGTGTGGTTGGAGCCGCAATTTGCATTTCGGTCTCACCGTCAGGGTCGGTTTTGGATCCTCTCCCTATAAAGATTTTGATTGTGTGTTTTGGCAAGGCACTTTTCCTGTTTGCCTCTCTACCTAAGAATATAAATGTGTACCTGGTAGGAAGTTGTGGCATTGGTTCTGTCTGCTATGTTTGGCTGCAGGACTAGGAGTAATCCCCAGGGAACCATTTGTGCTGGTTCGCCAATCTATGTATCCGGTAAACAGTGGCAATAACACTCTCACACCACTGATCATTATTGGTTTTGGTTTTGGTGGCATATACATTTCAGATATTATTGTTATCGTTGTCATCATCATCATTTAATGTCTAAATGACAAAGTGACACAGTAACAAGAAGCAATGTGCATTCAGCATTAAGCAACACAATTAGAAAATGAATTATGAGAAATTATTAAGAGTTGGTAGTATTCACCGATGACTAAATGACAGGCAACTCAAAATTTGTGTCATATATTTTTCAAAATTTTTCAAGTCGGATACCAGGCAGTGGCAGATCCAGGGATTCGAAATAGAGGGGGGGCCCAGAGAAGGAGTGTTACAGATACAGAGTGTACACCACCTCAGCCCCACCATGGTTGGGGCTGAGGTAAGAAAATTTATGATTATGGCACTCTCAGACTTAAAATCTGAATATAATTTTCTTCTTTTTCTCTTTTTTGTATAATCCTGAAAAATTTAAGGTGTGGGCCCGGCCCGGCACTCACAGAGCAGAAAAACAATTATTACGCTAGGAAAGTGTTCCTAGTTTTTCATAAATGGAAACTGGTTTTGAAAATATGTGCATAGAGATGATTTTTTGCAATACATACAAGAGGAATTAATAAAAATTAAAAAAGAGAAATTGAATATGGCTATTCAGACCTAGTCATCTATTCTTATTTCTTGTAAATGGCCAGCATCACATTATGATACATTTTTTTGTTTCCCCATTTAGAAAGATATTAGATATTTAATTAGAGATCTGCGTAGCCTTTCTAGTGATATCAGAGTATCACCGTATTATCCATCACGGTCAAAAGTGAAGCACATTCTTGAACGGATTTCGATAAAGCTCACCTTAATGGCTGACAACATGGATTCTAAACAGGTACAGTATTTAATATTTTTCAATTTACTTGTATAATATCTTCATTATGTATTAACAAAACAGCTTAGTATCTCATTTGATTAATGTTGTGTAGAGGGGCAGGGAGCAGTGGGGGTTCTAGGATATATTTTCTGGGTTGGCTGAGCTGTCTGACAGGGGGACTTGAGATCGTAGGCCTCAGCTGGGGGAAGGGTTTAAGAGGGGTTCCCCCTCCCAAATGAACAATTTTAATAACAGGAACCTCTGGATGGCCAGAAGTGACTGTGACAGATGTGTGTTGGCTTGGCGTGGGCCTATTTTTATATATTTTTTTTGAGTCCGATTGCCCAACGAGCTCCGTCTGATGTGGGGCTTGACCTGTCCGGTGGGGGCTTAAGCCCCTGCTTCCCCCTGCTGGCGCTGCCATTGGCAGGGAGAGGGTTGTGACGGGAGGTTGGATTTCTCTCCTTAAAACCCACTTCAGTTTTTTTATTCTTTCTCTAAATGATTTTGAGAGTAATTGGTGTAGGTGTCCTCCCATTGGTAAGTCTCTACCATGGATCATCAACAACTATAAATCTACTGATCTTCTAATGCTGTGGCAATGTGCTTGAAAATCAACACAAGCCAACATTATTTTATTATTACTTTTTATTATTATTATTATTATTATTATTATTATTATTATTATTATTATTATTATTATTATTGTTGTTTTACTAGAAAACAATTGTATTGAAAATATTTTTTTTTATTACTATTAATGTTTTTTATATAACTTATTTGTAGGATCTAGGTTCAAGTCTCTACGCATTTTTTAGCATGCCTAGCCCTATTGCCAGTCCAAACAAAGACCGTATAGCAAAGCATAGCAGGATAGACTCAGATGAGGAGCTAGCATATGAACACTATCATAGCCTAGTATCTTATGAAGAAGATTTAGAAGTTAAGGATAAAGAAATTAACATAAAAGAGGAAATAGAGAAAGATGTTCAGGTAGAACAGAATATGGAGACAAAAAGTGCCTGCAGCCACTCAGAAAAGCGATTTTCTATAGATTGCAACATAGCACAGCATTGCAGGGTAGACTCAGACAAGGAGCTAGAATATAAACAGTGTCATAGCATAGTGTCTTATGAAGAAGATTTAAAAGTTAAGAATAAAGAAAGTAACATAAAAGAGGAAAGAGAGGATGTTCAGGTAGAACAGAATATGGAGACAGTTAGTGCCTTCAGTCATACGAAAAAGCCATTTTCTATAGATCGCAACTTGGAAATACTGAATCAACGAGTATATGAAATGGAAGAACAAGTTGTAGAACAGAATAATGAATGTGGCAGTTTGGTAGGAAAGGTTGTTTCTTTATTGTCAGACAATATAATTAGGTTAATAAATAAGAGTGAACAGGCAAGTAAGCCGAGTACTAGTGAGAAAGTAGTTGAGGATCAGTTTATAAACCATATCTCTACATTAGAAAATAGAGAAGGCCTGATGAATAAAGAGGAGGTTCTTGAGAATTTTCAATATGATGCTATCACTGGCACCAACAATGATGACAGTACTGAATGCGAGGCAGAAATTCAATTTAAGCATCAGGATACAAGCCCTGACTTTATAGCTACAAGTAGTTGGTCCTTAGGACAACCATACATAAATTATTATCAGGATGAAATGATTGAATGCATTAATACTCCCTCCTCATCACCTGAAAAAAAGAAAGCACACTTTGAAGAAAATATACAAAATAATGCTTGTGTTAAGAATGACTCGAAGAAGAAAAGAAGTCAGCGAAAGTTGAATTTTAGTGGACATCATGAAGAAGAGGCAGACATAATAATGACTGAACCATCCATTAGTAACACAGCTGGTGGAGTTAGCTGTAGAACTAGTAGTGTAGAGAGAGGTATAGAACTCAATGAAAGAGAATTACCTAGTGAAGGAGTTGAGTATGATGTTGACAATGATAATAAGAGCCGTCTGTTATTGATAACAAATCAAGAATTTGGTCTGTTTGGTAGTAATAACTGTCATATTAAACACAATAGCCATAAAACACCATCCAATGACAGCGACGTTATTTTATCTTCACTGCCATGCTCCGAGAGTTCTACTAGTCTGAGTGGCAGCATTGAAGCAGTGCTGTCTCAGGACTTAATCTATGGTAGAAGTTTAGAACAAGGGCAGTCTTTGCAAAATTCAGAAGAAATGAAATCAAGTCAAGAAAGTGGTACAAGTTCACAATGCTCCAGTATTATGGACATTTTTGCAGTTGGTTAGGAAAAAATTATAAAAAAAACTAAAAAGAAGAGAAAGACAATAATAATTATGAGAGGTGTTTTTAACAGTAGCTTATAGATACTTTTTGTCATGCAATCAATAAAACATAGGGTAGTAGTGATCGTAATATGTGCTAGTGGGTACATGCTAATCTCTAATTTAAATAGCTATTTTCCTGTGGGCCTCCTGATTTGAAATTTTGGAAGATCATTTTTTCACCAAACTTGATCATCAAACATCATTACAAGTTGTGGTAATCAAGTATAGGAATCTCATTTGATTTAGGCTGATACATGTATACTTTAATGTGGATAATTATAGTTTATAATTTCAATATAGTTATAGCAGTGTTCAACTTTGGGTCTGTACATTTTAAGGTTTTGTGCTGTTTACATTTTCAATATATAAATATTATATTAACACTCTTTTTCAAAATGCACTCACATTTGACTGATTTCATTATTTCACATTGTTAACATTTATTGGAGCATTCTCACTGATTTTAATGTAAACTTTGTTTTGTTTACATTATTAAATGATCATTCTAACTGTTTTTAATGTAATCTTTGTTTTGTTTGTATTATTACTGTTTAAAGCAGCAAACTGATTATATGTAAGCTTTGTTTTGTTTACATTATTCATGCGGTAATAATACATAATTTTAATGTTGTATTTTGTTTACATTTTTATTAACATTTAAATGAGCATTCCCACCAAATCCCACTTATTTTAAAGTAAGCCCTTTTTGTACATTATTGTTAACATTTAAAGTAGCATTTTTTTGTTTACAATATTAAAATTTCAAACTGAAGTCTCAGTGATTTTAATATTTGTTTACATTGTTCTTGCATTTTGATAATTTTTTGAGCAACATTCAATAATTTAATGCTCATTTAAAATGTACACATTCTCAGTTCCCTCATATTTAATTGGATGCCATGTTTGACTGCAACATAATGCTTTAAAGACTGCCGTTTCAAAAAGTTTATTCAATTTTTATATTAACCTTACTAATATTTAAATGGTTTTTGTTTATTTGTTCAGTGTGATATGTTGAAATTTGTTGACCCAAATGACACACCAGTAGAGCATCTGATTGATTCAAAAGATGACTGTGGGTCGGATGTAGAATCGGTAGATGAGGAAGAGTTAATGGAGGTCACAGATAGTCGCCATGCAAGTGTGTCAAGCGATGAAAGCTTACCCTCAGTCAACAATAATTCAAGCTATGATGAACAAGTGTAAATGGGCTGTCAAATCACAACCTTCTTTTATTGCATTGCCATATACACAGATTAACCCATATCTGTGGTTATAAAAACTCTTTTATAATAGTAAAATTGCATATGTTAATTTCTTTTAAAAATAACAGTTGCGCTAGGCCTTTTATGCCAAAATCTTATTGTAAATATGAAATACCTTTTATATATAATTCATATTTTTTTTTACATTTAAAACCTAAAATAAAAAGAAAAAATGTACTGCCTTTTAACTATGACTAATAATGAAATTTTCCTTTTATTATAAATGTTAACCAATAACTTTTTTTGGTCAAATTGGCAAGGGTATTAAGTTAATTATAAATTTACCAATTATTAATTTTAAGCATGGATTGAAGAGTCATTTTCATACTCTTTTTTATAAACTTGTTTAATTTGTATAATTGCATCACCATCTTTGCCATAAAGGAAATGAAATGATTGGACAATCTTTAAAAAAAAAAGTAAAATAATAATAATAATTCCAGATTTTACAGACTTTTTCATTGTGTTACTAGGACCTTCTTTTATTTGTCCACTAGTTCTGTTGATATTTATATGTGTTTTTATCTTTTTAACACTCAGTTGCTGAGCTTGGTTCATTGTGGTGTGTATAAAATATTTCCCTAGATAACTTGTTTTGCATTTATTTAGTATTTGAATTAAATGTATCCCGTATTTTATAGTGAGAAGTTAAATATATAAAATAAGTTTTGAAGTTAACTTTATCCTTGTATTTTAAATGTTTGTAGATGGAACGGCTTATGTAGAATTATATTATTAGGTGGTGTCTTGGTGTATTAAGGCCTATTTACTCAGCTTGATGGCAGCGGCTGGAAAAAATAACCTATTATGTTGAACCACACTAAACGTTATCCGCATTTAGAACAATCCCCGAAAATTGTTGCACTACAAAAAATAATGGAGTGCACTACATGCAATAGTTTTCGCCGTTGTCATGATCTGCGTAAATAGGCCTTTATGGTACATAAATAACAAGTGTAACTATTACACAGATTTCTGATTATGGATCTTCTGGAGTGTCAATCAAGCTTAATAACTGACCAATCAGAACTTGTGATGTAATACCCGGGAATACATGCATGTCCCACAGTTATTGCTGTTTAAGGTCTCGCACCTTAACAACAGTATCCAAGGGGCGAGTTTCAGCCTTCCTACATTTGACTGATATCTAGATGCACTTGTTCAGTTGTGATGCCACTTGTATACATATCCGTATTTATTCATTGCTCATAATGTTAGGCAGGTAGAGGTTTGTTTTCATTTAGTGGAGCAGAATCTTCAAATTCTTAAGTCCCGTTCAATCAAATTTTGATGTACAAAAACATGAATTGCCTAAATATGATCATGACATCACATCATGACCATATATAGGCAGATCATGACTATATAGGGACATTCAACAGTTTTTTGTCTTGCAGCAAATACACCAATTTAGGTCTGTATAATTAAATATTCACTGGTAAAATGTATAGTAGACACCATTAGTACTTTATAATATATACATACTCTAGCTTGATAAAGATTTTATTACCAAAATTACTGTATATTTCAGAGTTTTATTCTAGTATTATTTGGCTATGCAGCCTATTTCATATAAATATGTAAAAAAATATTATGATATATTTACAAAATGAGGCTGCATAGGCAAAATTTTACATTTGACCAAAAGGTTATTGCTGTACATTTACTGAAAAAACTGTTGAATTTATGGCAATTTGCTAGAGGAAGAAAGGGAATGCTTTATTTACTACTCTCTGTACTAAATTATAATTGAATTGTTTGCTTTATATAATTAGCGTAGGCTCTTGATTACTTTCATGAATATTGCCTTCAATTGAAATACAGTAATGACTTTTCTTTCATAACGTAACAAGATCGCTGTGAGTGTAGTCCTCAGATGTTCGGCAATAGTAGTAACTTAAAACATCTCGACAGTATCAATAACAGGGTCACAAACAAATTTAGTAACACGTTTTGTTGTTTTCTGTCAGCAGGTTTTTTTTTTTTCTAGATTAAATGTGGGTATAAGCCAAATATGTATAATTCATTCAGTAAGAAAAAGGATATGCCAATAAAAGAACATTTTATTGGCATATTGGTATATTCTATTCTTAAACTTGAAATGCATACACTCAACACTCAGGTAGATCTGTACAAAACAGTGGCTTTATTTACCAAGTATGAAAAACACTTCTTATCTTTGCAACATTACTAGCTATTAAAATTAAAATAGCAAGAGAACAACCGTCTATACGTTTCCATTTACCATGGCCATAACATTGTTAAATTCTTGCATCAATATGAAAATGTGAATGGATTGGCATAATATGGGTAAATACACTGCAGTGAAAGAGAGTTTAGGTTTTTCGCATTGTTGCATGCAGAAATATAAATGGGGTAAACGCTACAAAACTATAGGTCAGAATTCATTATCATTCACACTCTTTCATTGCTTCCTAGCCAATACCAGAAAACAACATTTAATTAAATTGATCTGAAAATCTGATAAAATCAGCTGGAATAATTCATACATCTCCCATGTTATTTAGAAATATAATTATCCTGAGCTGTCTGTCCTACATCCCAATGGTCAACAGGGATGTCCAGACAAACTTTAATAGCTGGGCGAAGTGTGGCCTGCAGGCCGCATGATTTTATTGCAGCTTGTGAAAATGAATTAAAACCCCTTTGTGTATGACCCGCCCAACATTTTAGACTTAGATTAAAACTAAGAATAAAGTGGTAAAAAAAGCAGTGCATGAAGGTTTTTGGAAGCACAATGTAAACATCAGTTTGGGTGTGGTCCTCGGTGTGAAATCAAAAATTTACTTTGGCCCTCCAACTGCATTTATATATCTGCTTTTAGACCACAATGTTAGGGATTGGCAATCAAAATAGCATTATTTGGATAGGCAAATTATTATTTTTTTAAATATTTCGGATGGCAAGTTGTCCAGGCCTGTCTGACAGGTAGGCAAATGCCCACACTGCACCCCCCAGTCAGTCAGCAGATTTTTGAATGAGATGAAACAGTGGAAAACAATATGTGTCATGTGGAATAAGCCAGCAAATGTTTCAATGGAATTACTGTATTCTTATTAAGGTTTAAAGTGGAAAAATTTAACATGTTAACAACTACAAACTAAATGGGTTTCACTATAGATTTCTATATCATGCATATTAAATAATAATGATATAAATAACAATAACAACTAAAGATACACTTTTCATGCCTGTACTGGTTTTTGTAATCCATGATACTGGATTGACTGTATACAGTTAGCGCTTATGGAGTGTCTTTACTTTATGTTATACAATATATCCGATTTGACTGCTAAAAAGGTGGACATTTTAAAACCTGCCTTCTCAAAAATGACTAATTTATATCAGTTCTCCATTAACTAGACTAGTGACAGTATGAGTCATTTCTAGATGATTCAACTTTGACCTGTATTTGGAGCTCATATCTGCACCACAAAATAAATTAACCAAACAGGTAATTTTGTGAGCAGGTAAATGAGTATTTCAGTTGAACTCGCAAAGGAAAATACAATTCAAATAAAATAAATGATAAACTTCTCATAAAACAACACATGTTAAAGTATATAAAGTTTATAGCATTGTGGATTTTGGTTGGTAATTCATGGAAACCCTTGTCACACTCCTTGGCTACGTAATAATATAAATGCAATGTATAAACTTAAACCTTAATTCAGTTAAACAAATACTTAATTCCAAGAAAAGGGAAAATTCCAGAAATTTTAGATATGCCACAAAAATTGGAGTAGGGTAAAAATAGCAGACAAGGGAAAGAAATGGGAATGTCAACAGCATAAATATGTACATTATTTAATGTTAATGTGAGAAGTTCTCAAACTGTTATTCAATTACTATAAAAAAAATTGCATTGGCACTTTCATATAAGCCTAAATATCATTACATTTAATTATACAGAGTTGACATTTTCAAGACTACAGAATTATTAACAATGGGATAATGGATGTACAATATTTACATTCTTCGGAGGATTTTGTATAAAAAATGGTACCTGATTGAAATATTAAATAAAGTGTCGCTATAGGCCAACGCCTGTCTCACCCGGCCTACAAACTACTAGTGTACTGTATTTGAAGCCATCAGAAATCATAGTTAAGTATTATGCCATGAAAAAATTATGTTTTGTAAAGGATTTAAAAAATATATATTGTCTGAAAAATAATATGTAACTTCTAATATTATGTCTTAAATCTGTAAAGGTTAAGCATGGATAGTAACCTTCATGGTAATAATACAAGAAAAAATAAAATGGTTGGCACATTTTGAAGAGTAGCCTTAACCAATATAATAAACATTAATCTTTAAAACAACAATGTACATCATCATTGCTACAAATGCAAATTCTGATGTCTCAATGGTGATACCTAACTGAACACCATTATTAAATAATACTGTACTAAGTTCTGTATAATAAAAGAATTCAGAAAAACTAAAACATCCCATACAGAGGACTTGATGAGGTGATCCCTGAGCGACCTTTAACCTATTGGCTCTACTAATGCATGCATTAATAGCTGGCATGTCTATGGCTGCCAGCTTGTTAACAGGCTCTCTACACTGGGTGTTCAGCTCAGGTATGCTCACTCAAGGACATATTATTCTTTAGACTGTAATGCAGCTGATGGTTGTTGAACTAGTTCCACAATGAGTAAATTTAGAGCATACTGATGATGATGCTGGATTCAGAATGGGGTTCCTTTGGTTTGAATGTGGTACATTGTCCCTGAGAAATTATGGTTGAATAACAAACTGCTGCTGGACTTAAGACTTCATCCACAACTTAAAGATATAAAGACAAAACAAAAATTATGATACATTCATATCAAGAAATTATTAATTGATCAAGCACACAATCATTAATTAATACAGACATAACATTAACAGAATTTACACCTGAACTTTAGTACAAATTTGTAAGACTACAAGACTACAGTAGTAGCACATCATTAAATGATCTTACAAAGTAGAGCAATTATTCTTGAATTTGAATATACAAATACTGTAGAGATTGATGTATACTGTATTTAAGTTCATAATTCTGCAAAACAAGTATAGATAATATTATCAGTATCACCGTGAAATATCCCATTCAAAGGTTATTACTGTACTGCATTGTGAATGAGGCTTAAAAGAGAAAATTTCATCTTTCTTCAAGCATTGAAATAAGAAAACCAATGTTCGTTACACATTATTAGCCTAGGTCCATCGTTAATGCAGATCTATAAAACACTTGTACAGTACGTACTTCATACTTTGTTAGGTCTATAGTAATTAGCATTGAGTACCACCTGACATTAGTACACTACCCTTACTTAAACATAAAAAACGTTGAGATCATTATGCTTAAAAACAGGAAGTGAATACTGTAGTATATTAACATGATCGTAAACAAGTGATAAAATGATTACATCGTTAATGCAAGTCTATAAAACACTTGTACAGTACTGTACTTCATACTTCGTTAGGTCTATAGTAATTAGCATTGAGTACCTGCTGACATTAGTACACTACCCTTCTTTAAGCATAAAAAACATTGAGACCATTTATTCTTAAAAACAGGAAGCGAATACTGTATATATTAACATGATTGTAAACAAGTGATAAAATGATTACATGATATTATAGTGGCGAAGAGATAATAAAAAAGAGAAGGCAAATGAAATTGCTACAAAATTTGCATGAATGTGCTTTTTGGGCTCTACAGAACTTGTACATAAGGGTTATTACATGCATGAAAATATTGATTTATAATAACATGCATTGTTTAAAATAATAGATATTTATGACCAATTATAATACAACTATGGATGTAATATACATCAATATGTATGTAAACAAGTACAGTACATTTAGTTGACTTGGACACAAAAATGGAGAATGGTTTTTCAAAATCAACATTTTTTATGTACACTTTCAGAGAGGGAGGGGTATCGAAAAAGAGTAGGCCTACTGTTTGTACACTTCACTAATTTGTACATATCACAATTTTTTCTATGTTGTGAAATAACAATCATTTCAACAGTGTTTACGATCATAGACCTTAGACTTATTCCCTTCAAATGAAGGTGAAATATGCAAATTAAATTGACATTTGAATCAATCATAATCACATTCAAAATGACAGAAAATAAAGCAAAATGAAAGTTAGAACTTTAATCAACTAGAGCGTAGTGTTTATTAAGTTTGTCAGTGAAGAGGATAAACTATGCAAAAAAGTTAAGAATTTATAACGGATTTGAATGCACCTTTTCATTTTACTGTACATTGTTATATGTAATGTGAATTTGAAATGACAAACTATGAGGTCATGTGAACAGATTAAACCAACAGAACACCTGACGAGAATGGTCCTGGTTAGAATAGCTCTATGTGCCATACAGAAGGTAAAAATGACAATGTGAAAATTATTAGGAAATGGCCCAAAATTTAAGACTCGGTTAAGTCTTCCGGAGCTTGTGCTTACATCGCATGCATCACTGAAACTTTCAGAGAATATATCCATGATTAGACTTGACCACATATGTGCAGAATATTAATATATTAAAACCTACTGCCTATTTAATTATTTCATTGTGGTCAAAATTAATCTGATGTGAATCAGCTTTTATTGCTGGAGCTGATAAATATACAAAACGTAATAAAAATGTTCTGAAAAAAAAACAAACAATACATTAGTACAAGATGTACAATAATGGTACAAAATCCCAATTCAACTAAAGTCTTGGGGTCAAATACCAATAATGGTAGTAATTTTTTCAAAATGCTGCTTTGCTTGAAATTTTTAATCCTCATTGATGACATGTTTCTCTTTATCTTGATAACCTGAAAGAGAAAAAAAGTGTAACACATCAATATTTGATAAAATCATACGTAATCTTATATATTATAAATATATAAGAAAATTTATTTAACACAACACTGTTTGCTTATAAAGGTGAATCACGCTTTATTGGCATTTAAAGGGCGTCTCACATTTTAGGAACACAGCTTATTATCATTTCTTGTTACATATCAGAGCTCTATAACCTGCTTAGTAAGCACAAACAAATTTAGGCATTATTTCCTGAGATATTGACTCCTGAAAACGAGACAAAACTGAAAGCCGCATTTTTTTGGCTTTTTTTTGTAGCGGCGGGGGCACTTATAAGCCAAAAATACCATTTAATTTTTATCTTAGAAAAACATCATTATTAGCAAGCGGCGGTTTCGCTATAGCAAGTTATAAAAAGTCTTGCCTAAGTACATTATGAACAATCCCAGAGTGATATACAGTAGGTCACCAATACTCACATTAAAATAAATACCATACTTTAAAGTAATGCGAGTGTGCATATAAGCAATAATTTGAAACATGAAATAAGAATTGTTTATATTTTACTATAATTTTCATTTTATGACCTGTTTTGGTGTCTAAAGCCAGTTACTGACTGAGTGCGACGGCGATGTGACGAAGAACAAATGAGGATCCGTTCAGATTGCCACTGACAATCAGCAGACAGCGTTGCGTCGTCTGTCGCTCGCCGGAAGCAAATGTGGATTTTTCATGCGACGGTCATACGACGCAATGAGTGTCCGGCTTTAGTTATTCTTTGAGCAAGTCATAAACATATAAAACATGCATTTATCACATTTTAACATGAATTGTAGGTTTATATATAATAATCTATAGCATTTTTGTTTTTAGGAGTAATGTGGTACCATACCGAATACTCAGTACGTTCCCAAATACTAGCGATTTGGGTGGAAATTGAACCAATGACCTCCAGGTATCTAGACTGATGTTATGGTTAAGACATCAGGCTAGATGTCCTGGGTTCAATTCCCACTTGAATCACTTGCAATTTTTTTTTTTTGCTAGTATTTTGGGACGTACTGAGTATTTGGTACGATAACACGTCAGGTAGGGCAAAACATCACTCTTATGATATTTTCCTGAAGCAAACTCACATCCTAATATTTTGGTTTTTGTAATTTAATATTTATTATGAAAATCGTAAGATCAAGATTTTTTGGTGAGGATGTTATTTACTTTATCATAGTTGATAAACAAAAATTGTTAGTTATGAAATAATAAAAATGCATTTATAATGTGCCATCTATCCACTGATCTATGATATATTGAGGTAAACCTATTCCGAGGTGCTGCGTGCACACATGGAAAATCAAAAACAAAACAGAAGCAAAATGAGTCTTTGTAATATATTTTGTCTTTTATGTTTCCATCTTTGTTGATTTTGATGACAATCATTCATGATTATTTTTACCTTCCATGGAAAAATGGTTTTTTTTTTAAAATAGGAAATAGTAAATCTTTTTCATGAGAGGTTCCAAAATTTGATGATGATGATGTTGACATGAAACTAGCAACTTAATTTTATTATGGCCTAAAATGTCTCCATAATCTCATAAATGAGGTACATATAATACATTGTTTTGCACCTGACAGAAACAGTCACAAATGTTAATTATATTTTAATGCATGAGTGAGTTTCTTGCTTAGTGGCAAGCATGAGCTAAATTACCAAAGGATTTATCTTTTGTAAAGAGGGGTCAATTGTTTTTCTTCATATTGACACAAAGAGATCTGCCTTTAACACATTGTTCTTTTGTTCAGCTAACTGTTTACCAATGCATATCAGCTGCTCCCAACAGAGCATGCTCAAAAACCTAATCTTGAAAACATCTGCACATTTTACTTTAATATAATATTTTTATACTCAGTAGAATTTCATCTAGTCTTTAGTTGAATTAGCATACTAATAATTAGTAACTTTTAGTCTATACATTAAAGAACCTTTCAAAGTATACTAATATTTTTATATTTATAACAATGATAAAATTTCATCAATTTTTAAAATAATTTCGATAGGAATACACAACACAAAATGTGAAATTGGATTTGTTTACTATTTTGTAGGGTCATTCCACCTTTTATTAAAATCATAATTTTTTTTTATCACTGCATGATATACTGAATGCAATAAAAATATTGGCATATTAGGCAATATAAAAAAACCGTCATATGATTATTTTGGTTTTCTAAAAAAGGGGGAGGACCTTTTTATTTGTTATTTATCCTCAAAATGAAAATAAACTATGATGTTGATGGTCTGGATGATTGACGTCTTCTTGCAATTAAATATACAGTAGCCACCATCTACAACACAACATTTTTACACTTGACTTTTTATTTGGTATGTATATATGGCGCCTTTCTTTCAGGTTATGAAGCACTTTCATTTCCCTGGTCATTGGGTCCACATGCTTAAGTGTAGCTGTTGTACTGGCACTGTAGCAGGCAACCCCACCAGGTACTCAATATACCCCTGAATTGAAAAAAGCAACAAAGATAAAGTGATTATGGAAGTGGGACAAGAAATATGAGAAAAGATGATGGCGTCTAGGCATTTAGAATCTGACAAACATACTATTCATAAATACAACAGTTATTTTTTGCTGTTTAAAAGTTTTGTGTATTTGAACCAGATACAGTATGGTAGGCCTATTCCTGAGAATGCACTTATAAAGACCACCGATTTCCGGTAGGGTCTTTCTGGAGGTTGATTAAGAAATCCCACCAGGAGACACTTATATACTCCTCTTTTCTAAAGTGTGCACTGCGTTCTTTAAATATCCACATCGATTACTGTATATTGCACACAGGACCAACGGCTTCAATGTCTCATCCAACGGTACACTATTGAAACCTGCATTTCAGCCCTCCAGTTGTAACGCATGCAAAGGAGAGGACAGAATGAACTGGAGACTTTAGAGCAACG